GTTGGATTTCAGTTTTAGTAAAAGTTTTATGGCATTAGCAACACAAATAAATAAGAGCGGAAGGTAAGGGGCGTTGCTACAAACATTAAGAGAGAAAAGAAAGATGAGAGATAAAGACGATAGATGTTTGATAGGAAAGAAGGAGCAAATCACACCAAAGCACTTGCCAACAAACAACCCACTCGACAAAAAAACAACCCAAAACAACTTCAGCAAAAACAATAACAACAAAAATAATAGAACAGGAAAAGTCAAAACTCACTGAAAATAGAGGTACTTGTGTCCAGTCTGTGAATATTGCGTTGGCACAAGTAACAATTCCCAATAGAAAGACTTCAGATACTCCATTTGAAAACACTTTTCTCCTTCACTATCTCTCCTTCTCTCTTTCCTCACTCGAAAACAAGCTAGTTAGTTCTCGCCAAAGCACACCCTTTACCGCGTGTGAAAATGTCACGAAGACTCCACCAATCTATGTATATATAACAGGACTATAAAACACACATATATGGAAACAAGGACATTGATTTCTACGACCCTGTCGACAGAAACTGTCGCAAGATTGCGCGTTATACAAAGAGAGGACTTCAATAACCAGAGCGCCACCGTCATTTTCTGTTCGATGTCTTAGTGGGGGAAGGCACTCATCCAATTGTGCAGACTTTCTGCGTTTTTTTTATAGTAGAGGGTTTTACGGCGCTCGCAACTGCATAAAAGGTCATATGAGCGCCAAGGGGTGGGTGTCAACAGAGAAGTCTTTACAGGGAATCAGACTTACTCTGCTCACCTCTCTAGCTCAACAGCACAAGGAATGCTTCGACTATCAAGGCACCCCGGAAATAGCAGGTCACAAGAGAGTGACAAACATACAAAAGAAGTAGAGGGAAATGACAATAGTAAGGATAAGGGGGGAAAAGCAGCAGTTCCCTGTTGTAGATCAGGCACAGTTAAGAGCGTGACATGATGAATCAGCCCATTTACAATTCTTCTATGCTTGAACGAGAAGTGTGCCCCCGTTGGGAATGGCCTAAAGACACTACAGTCGGTGGCACTGCCACGGGGGTATTGTACAGACTAAATCCTCAATTAACCTATTGAAGCTGCGCATTCTGGTCCTTTGACAAAGCTCGATGACGCGCCGTTTTCAATTCTTTTTTTTTTTTTTTAACTAAAACTTAGAAACGCAAGCAAATACATGCATACGATTGTTCATTTGTTCGTTTTAAAATTTTGTTCGTTGGATTAAAGACAAGAGAAGCACATCGACACAAAAAAATATCTTTTAGTCCTGGGAAAAAGTGAGACAAAAGAGGGAAAGTAAGAAGTAGGACTTACCAGTGGCGTCCTCCAACCACTCGCTTGCATGCGATAAAATATAAAATTTCGTTTCACTGATTTGTGTATGATGGCTCGAAATGTACCTCTAAACATTCTCCTTGGCCGGCAGCTGATCGGACATATGATGTGTTTGCCATGCCCTTAAAGGTTTGAGCTAAACAGTTTGTTTTTATAAACGCTTGTTTGAATATTTCACATCAGCAATTAGAAAATATACAATGTTTAGAAGGGAGGGCAGCTTCAAAGCTGCCACTGTTCCCTA